TCTCGATCGAAACTTCCAACTCTTCGAGCTCTTGTTCTTTTTGCTCTAAAAAAAAAAGGGGGAAAGAAGCTGTAAAAAAAAAAAGAAAGACGGTCTCCGAATTTCTCAACTTCTTGTGCTTGCTGCCTCTTATTGAAAGCTCTCTTCCCCTGTGCCTCTTCTACTTTCTTCTCCCTCTCTCTTTATTTAGCTTGGATTTCCGGCAGCAATTTCCTCAATAGCGGCCATATTCACCACCGGAACCCTCATCTTCCTCCATTTTATTTTATTTTTTTTTTCTTCTTTTTTTCTTATTTCGACCTCTTCGGACGAGAACAGAGGAGAATGAGTCCTAAAATTCAAGGCGAGAGTCTCGAAAGGGGAAAATCTCTTTCGAGAGAATCGAACGCGAGTTTCGAAGCTTGCGCGCAAACTGGAGATCGTTCGACGAGCGGGACTACATATATATTTATATATACACACATATATATATATATACACATATATACACACACGTACACTTACTTAGCTTCGAACAATTTCAGTGTAAAATTCAATGTTAAATCTTCAGCATCCTTCCGATCCATTAACGATATCAAGTATCGTTTCGTAAGCTTTGAAATCGTACATGCGCCCGCGTACGCGCGCGTCGGACGTCGCGGAGAACCATTCATTCCGGTCCAAGAGTGATAAAAACACGTAATTGCGGAAGTTGATCAATCTTGGCTATCTCCAAGTTACTTATCGAAGATGTTCGAATTGGTTGGAAATTGATGGTGGGGGTGTGTGGTAAATCGACAGGATCGGCGGTGCACGGGACGACGAGGGGCTAACAGTAAGAGCTTGTACGCTTTCGCAAACCACGGAAACTGTAATTTCGTTGCGCAAAAGAGAGAGAGAAAGAGAGAGAGAATTTAGTAGGAAATCGAGCGAATATTTTTTCTACGGGACTGAAATTTGTCGAATGGCGACGGCCGTAATCGCCGTCCGCGTTCTAAGAAAACTGTTCAATCCTTCGAGTGCCCTTAACGCATCGTAAAGTTGGTTCCTCTTTCGTCTGTCAGGAAGAAAGCCAACCCAAAGGCAGTTGGAGAGCGCAAAAAAAAAAAAGAAAAAAAAAGGAACAAAGGATTGTCGTCCAGAAAATGTCCAGAACGATGTCGAGGGCATGGGAGCGTCGACTTTTGCCGCGTTTCTTCGTTCGTCTATCGGAAGTAGCGCTTCGGCACGGAGCAGGCAAGAAGAATCCATGACAATATATTGACAAGTGGCATTAAACGAATTGGACGGGACGGAAATGTCTGTGCAAGAACCGGTATTGTCACTCCGCTCGAGGTTCGATATTGTGAATAACGTAAAACTCGGGCGCGTTGTCCATTGTAAGATAAAAAGAAAAGAAAAAAAAAAAAGAGGAAGAAGATCGTTGTTGGACGTTGCTCTAAGATTCTACGGTTTCATGGTATTTTTCAACCCTCTGCGGCCTTTCAGCGCCTCGATGTGTTTGTCGAACGTAATTGGCGAGCTAGAGAATCGCGATTTTATCCCGATAATTTTCTTATCGACTCTAAACTGATAGGGAAGGGGTCTGTCTCTCGTGAGAGGACGGAAGCTTCCCTTAAAGTAAAATTTCCCAACGAGAGAAGAGAGAGAGAGAGAGAGCAGTACTGTGTTAAAGCATCGCCTTCCATTTACATATCATTTATATTGAATTTCATTTAACGTTGATGAAACGTTGCTCGGCCTCGAGATCTGCGAAGCTGTGTTAGACCGTAGAGGGTCTGAGCTCTCCGCTAGTGTGTATCGATTGGAAAGGCGAACGAATGGACGAAGAGAGAAATTAGCAGGAAATCGAGTCCGTGGCATATCACGTGGAGTGATAACTCTCGCGTAGGACCAGACATTGTGCGTCGATGTGTACATAGAATGCGTTTAATTAATTAGTTTTATTCGTCGTTGTTGAGAGAACGGGAAGGAAAGTTCGACAACGTTCGATCCCGAACGTTGGCTTTTGATCGGACGCTTTTAACAGAGAATTACGCCCCGAACCGATATCTTCGGTAATAAAAAAAAAAAAAAAATTTTTTTTTTTTTAAAAGATCAAAAGGTCATAGGATCGACAAAGGTTGATTGAAAATTTAGGTAAAGTCCGTGCGAGTTTGAAAATCGATTTTGTTCTCGGTCGAGTTATCGATACGTTGGGAATAATTCTCGAGCGTATCGCCGCGTCGGCTCGCGTTTTTCCCGAAGAAAAACAGCTGTGGGCACTGTAAATATCCCAGCTTCACGGTTTCGTGTTGGACGAGCGTTCTTTGATCGACGAGGATTTCATTTCGAAGCAGAAAGGTTTATCAAACGCACGAAACGAAAAAGGGGAGGGGGGGGGTGGAAAAAAAAAAGGGAGAGATCAGAAAACGACGACGAAATAAAAGAGCGGATCGAATTAAATTTCTATGCTTCAGAGCCGAGTCGTTCGAGTCGTTCTATTAACGAATCAGAGTGCGTATGGCTGCGATATTCGAGACGGAGGAGAAAACGTCGTTGTTCTTCTCAGAGTAATGCTTTATTCAAAACGAAGAGATGAGGCTCGTAGACAAGGAAAACGCGGGGGAGTCGTTCGAATGAAAGATTGAAACGCGCAGGATGTTGCGACGTAGTATGAGTCCGAGGTAAATGGGTTAGTGCATTCGGAACGGAAGTATAGATACGCACACATGCATACACAGTTGTACGCACACGACAAAGAGGAATAGAAGGGATGTCGTAAGGGTACGCTGATATATCTCCTCGAATTTTCAGAATTCATGGAAATTCATGTACCTTTATAGGATCCTCTGTATCTACCCGTACGTAGGATATCGATTTAAGAAAGATGAGAGAATAAATGTCGTACGTTGTATATTTACTTTAGTGTACTTTCTTCATCGTCCTAGATCAATGCCTGAATTCCCCTTACTTTATGCTTTTTGTTAATCAATTGCAACACGGAGTTCTATATTATCAACTAACGATAATCTCCCGGTTGTCTTCACTGTGACTGGTAACTAAGGCTACTGTTTTACCGATACTTTCAAAAGAACGCAATCTATTTAAAAATTATCCAATTGATTTTCTTGCTTTTCTATACGTTCGATGTAATTAGAAAGAGAGAAATTTCAATCACTTAAGAGGAAATTGATAAAAATCTTCTCCGTGTGAATAAAAAATTAAATAATTTTTAATAATTTGAAAAAATGTAACGACATATCAAATGACAAAAATATAATCTACAGCTACTACTACAAATACTAAAGTCAGAGTATAGTGACAAAATAGTAACAAGAATGACTTCCTATACTCTGGAATGGATGGAAAATCCAGAGAATAGCTAGCCATTAGTAGTTGCCCTCTTCTGTGGCAATTTCTGCTTAAAGCCTCTACTTTCTTCGGGCGCAATACCCGCTGAAATTCAATCTAGCCTCGAATCTTTCTAATTGCAAAGCAAACAATAGCTTATAACTACGACCATGACCGCGAAATTTCGAAAAGTCGATAAAACTACAAACGACTGACCTACTGTGCTCAAATCGCGCTTCCTGAAACAGGTTGGACACGCGAAAACGCGCATATCCATGACTGTGCCAAGTCCAAACCAAAACGTAAATTATCCTATCCAGCCTATATTTGACCATAAAAATGGCAAAAGACAGGCCTACTAGAGAAACTAAACTAGAGAGGACGTCCTGGGACGCCTCCGACACCCGAACTTAACATACAACTTTCACACTTTAATTTATGTACGATTTTCCTGAAATCAACTGATGATTGCTAGCGACCATTACGTAGAATATTTCAATTCTAATTTTAATTAAAACGTCCATGCTTGTATTGTATAAATACTCATGATCATTATCTGAAGAAATTATACGATTGAAATTCGTTATTATTATTATATACTAATTATCATATCATTAAAGAACACTATTCGTGCTATTCATAATTTGTTGTAATTAACTGATCGTATCATTAGTACTTGTCTAATTTATTAATATTTCAAAATTATATTGCTTGAACAAAACCGACGCAATTACACAGCCTAACTACACACACACACACACGCGTATGTGAAAAATACGTCGTGTACGATACGCTAATGTATCATCAGTCGCTGAGAAAGTATGTTTATAAATTATGGTCGTCATGCCCATTGCTTTTCTGCCACCCAAGTAGCACCTGGATGCACGTGAATGAGATCCTGGCAATGAACGTGGAAAAGGTTAAACCTGGAAATCCTGAGCTAAAAGATGATTAACATATTTATTTCATATCTAACGGAGTAATATTGTATTTTCTTATTTTATTTTAATATTGAATAACTTTACTTTATAATTTACTTGAATAATTTAATAAATTACTAAAACACTATACTTGAATAAAAGTAAATCAACAATGAATAAGTATATTTAAAATTTAATAAGTAACAATGAACTCTAAGTGAAATGTTGCTGAAAAATTCCATAGGCGATCTCTTCATCAAAGCACATATTTGAAAATACAAAAATAACATTTAAAACCATTACTTTGATTCTGAAATCTGCCTATCGCGAAGTGTCTTCTTGCACATAAAATTTAGTATTCTTGAACAAAATTTCATTAAGTTCTTTCACGTCTTAAATTACGTTGAAATTATATTGACTGTTATTACAAAATCCGACATGAAATTGAGTATCATTTATAATTGTAACAATTATACATTTATCATCATTACGACTGCAATAATTTCAATTAAAGTTTCATAACAATGAAATCGAAGGATATCCAATTTCTCCAATACAAAATACTGAAACGAAATCATTGGAACATTTATCGTTTAATCAAATATTAATATTTTATTTATTTTATGTAAATTGTACAAATATTTTAGAAGTCCATAATATATTTATCTTTGCGATTAATCATATTATTTATACTATGATTTAACAAATAATTATAATAAATTGTGTAATTTTTAATCACAAATACATATTGTATATTCAATGGATTATTATTAATATTCAAAAACACGATGTGCAAGAAAACCTATCCTGAGCTAATAAATAAAACATGGACAAAAAAGTGCTACTACTACCGGGTATAATAAATACCCATTGTCACTATACTCGTCTAAAATTCTACGTAATATAACCAGTCACCCGTGTCGATTCGGACCTTTCATCCCACGA